AATTTGGTTTATATTAAACAAAAAAGAATAAATTATTAGTGGATTATAACAGATTTAGGTGTTTCTCTAGCTTAATTAAAGTGTTAAAAAGGATTTACAAGAAGTTGTTGCATATTATATCAAAGCTAATAATAATGGTAAGTTGTTATTATTATTATTATATAATATGCTATTACTTTATATCTTCTTGATAATGGGAAGATTTTCTTATGATTGGTTTAATAGGTTATATTAATTTTATAATTGATTATATATATCACGTGATATTTTTATGCTACCTTTTATTTATTATATATTAAATATTTTTATCAAATTCTAAAATCTATTATTATTATAATTAATATAAAATATATAATTATATGTATAACTATTCATTATAACTTTAATCATATCTATATTAATAGAAAAATAGAATAATTAGGTATCATATTAAAGATTCAATTACTTTATTTATTATATTTGTTTCTTAATAAATGTAAGTACTTTAAGATTTCAGATTCTTTTGAGATCTTTTTGTACAGTGAGTTTAAAGATATTTTAGAGCTAGAATTTTTTTATCTCAAAATTGAAAAGAATACTTTTATATAATCATTTAACTAATCATCTTATGAACTGCTAGTATAAAAGAATAAAAGATGAAATATTAAGTTAAAAATATATAAGAAATTAAATAAAATAAGAAAGCTGTTGATTATTTGAAGAAAGGGGTTGGGATTTGTATTCATTATAAAATATATTTTTTTATTTATTATCAAATTAAAATTAGAAAAATTAATGTGTTTTTATTCAATAAAAATTTTTATTATACTTTTATTTTAAGAAAAAACATAAAATTAAAATGTAAAAAGTGTGGCAACTCTGACTCAGTGGTTAAGTTACAAATCTTTTATTAAGCTAAAGTTTCAATTCAAATATCGGCCGATACATAAAACTAAGATAATTTTCATAAGAAATTTATATAAGGCTAAATTGATAGACGTATATACTAATATGTATATAAATCTGGTTGATTGATCCATCGATTAATATTGATTATGCCTAAATTCTGTACAATGTTAGAATATATAGATGTAAATGAAGCCTAAGATCAACAGAAACTTAGTCTTTACTAATTGGTCTATAATGAATACAATCTTACATTTCACTCTGTAAGGGTCCTTATTAAAGTTGAAGAAAGTGATTGATAAGGATTTAGTAGATTATATCAGCGGTGATAATAAACTACATTTCGAATTCATAATACTGTCTAATCAAGCTGCCACTAGAATTAAAGGTTAGGTTCAATTCCTAAATTGTTTGACGTTCTAGGTATCAATATTATAGTATTATCCCTTAAATCCTGCAGTTTTCTATATTAAGACAAACTAAGTAATTAAGTCCTGCTATAGTTTATTAGATTATTAGTAAGAGTAGTGATGATGTTCACTATAGCTGAGATATTCTCTCTATATAAATTTGATAGTACCTTTGATGCTGCTAAGTACCTAATTCTGATTACAATAAGCAGTTTGAGTTACCAGTTAGAAGTTCATACTCTAGATAGGCATATCAAGAGAGGTACGTCTGACATGGTAGATAATTTGAAATATAGGAAAATACCTAAGATTGTTTATTTGACTTGCAGCATTATTATGAGGCTAGTTACTTTGATAGCTAGGTTTAATGCTAAAAGTTAATGATCAATGTCAAAATACCTTAAAAAAAATCAAACTAAAGTGTAATGTATTAAAACTAAATTTTTTTTAATTTTTTTAATATTAAATATGTATTTATTTTCCTTTTTTCATTTGTTAATGTTAATAAACTTTGATTGCATAAAAATTGTATATATCATTGCAAATACCAATTTTGGTTTTTTTGCACATTAAAATCTGAGTCCAAATTTTCATGGTTATAATGCAAAAAAAATTGTATTATTAGACTTTATTCATGATATAAAAATATATAACTTTTTATATATAATGATCAGGTTAAATAAGGTAAAAAATCAATTTATTCCATTTTAAATCATGTTTAGTATTAAATTGCTATGCTCGAGAAAGGCATGATGTACTTTTTTCTTTTTAAAGTATTCAGCAAGTCCTGGTAAGAAGATTCTTTTAAATCAAAGATTCTGCTTTTATTAATTTAATATATGTAAATTATCCAATTTTGAAGTAAATTTACATGAAAAATTTGCAGTTCTTAAGGGATATTCATTAATTGTCATTATTTAAAAGCGGTTTTTATGACAAATTATTGTTGATATAAAATTTTATTAGTACTACAGTTACGTGATTTTTATATGATCACATTAACCTCAAAACCATCAAAAATACAAGTGAAAATTGGCAAATTCCGATTGGTTCAAACAATTCTGGATTTCCAACTATTTGGGTTATTGGCTATTAAAATCACTATCCCATATATTTTTTGTTTGCAAATTTTTTTTTATATTCTCTCTCATTACAAATGTCAACACAATTTTTTACAAAATTAAGCCAAAATTATATTTAATTGATAGGTAATGATGAATATTATGATGTTACAATTGTAGTTGGAAAAGATCCAAATGTAAAAATATTCTGTGCACATATGATTATTTGTGATGATTCATAAAGAGAATAATGACGGCTTAACTCATATTAAATTACCAAACGTTTCGCCAGAACATTTTCAAATTATTTTGAGGTAAGATTTATAGGTTTTTTTTTTGATTTTTGATTGTAAAATCCTTGGTTCATATATTTAATAATTTTTATAATTTAGGTATATATATGGTGGTGTATTTTGAGCTTATAGAATAAGTTTCAATCTAATTCTTTATTAATACTTCAAAATTTATGTACAGCTTTCTTAGCTAAAACACCTGAAAAAATATTCAAATCACTTGATTTTTACCTCGCCCCCTGAAAAGTCATTAATATCACTTACAAATAAAAGAAATAAATGAAGTTAAAATTTGGGAACGTGTTTTAAAATGGGTCTAGAAAATAAATCATACACTCATTTCACTTGGTCCGATGATGATTTCAAATTGATGAAAAATACTTTACAACATTATTAGATTTTTTAATTTGACTTCTGAAGATTTTTTTCAAAAGGTCTGTCCATATAAAAAACTTTTGAACTCCCAATTTTATGAGGAATTATTGGGATCTTATTTGGATCCTAATATACAACCAAGTGATAGTATTTTGCTTCCGAGATGTAGAAATATTAACGGAATCATTGATACAACTATCGTTAATTTATATATTATTTCCATAATTTCAAGATGGATTGATAAATTAGAAATTAAAAGCAAATTAGGTTATACAAGAGAATTATATCTACCTTATGAATTTAAATTAAGGGGAAGTCGAGATGGATTTACCCCTAAAACGTTTCATGAATTATGCGATAATGTACTACATTCGTTAAAGTAAAAGGTTCCGAAGAAATTCTTGGAGATATAACCCTTTAATATGGAAAACTCCATCTCATGGAAATGCACGTGGTGAAAGCAAAGATAGTTTTATATTTTCTTTTAAGAATAAGAATAATTTTGAAGATGCAATTTTAAGCAATGTGAATGTCATAATTAAATCATTGTGGTATAGTTCTACTTGTGGACCCACTTTTGCTGATGACCTTTGTTTAGAAAGTAATCATAATATAAAAAATTATAATAATAATTTTTGTAAGCAAGCTAGATATGAAAAATCGATAAGAGATACGATTGACTACTTTTTAATAGAAGATTACGAGGTTTTTCAAATTGCAAAGGTAAAGACAAATTCTTGAAATTAATACTAAATTACCGCAAACATAGAATTTATTTAGTCTGGTATTTGACTTTCATGCAATTATTAGTTTAATTGTAAATTACAAACTTATTATTCTTACTTCCCTTTTAATTTATAGATCAAGGACACTTAAATAATCATACATTTCACACACGAACGAGTTATATATCAATAATAAATCAATCTTGTATTCTTTGTTGGAAATATTTTTAAAACATTCTGAGTACATTTGTTTTTCTCATTCATATTTTTATAAATATTCTAAATTTTAGAATGATATTTATAATATAATTATAATAATGATTCTATAAATTGTTTATGTGTCGTTTTACGAGAAAAAAAAATTAAACGGTTTTTGACTCAATAATGAAGTTTTCATGCCTATTACGAAAGATTGACCAGATCTAAGGATTTAAATGAATTTATACAAATTTTTTGACAAGAGTTGGTTTCCATCATAATTCTTGTCAGCTCATGTTAAAAGTTTAAGAAAAACAAAATTATAAGCAGATCGCAGACCGAGAAAATTTAATAAGTTAATTTAGAATTAAAGCTACACTTTACATTGTAAAGTCCATATTTCTGACTCGTCTCACTTGACGTTATCTTTTTTTTTGTTCTTTGCATCATGTTTATTATTTAAAAGGAACTGTAGTTCGAACTTGATTTCTCTTGAGATAGACTTATGAACACTAAGGAATTCTAAAACTTCGTGGTTTTATGATTATTAAAATGAATCGTAATAAACTTTAGGAAGAAGGCCTTTGAAAGAAATTGAATCCAGTCTATTTGTCTAGTTCGGAACAATTCCAGATCAAATAAATCCTGACGTCACGTTTGGATATATTTTCTGAGTATATTTGGTACATTTTCGACGGCCACATATATAATGCCTTTTTGAATCAATTTTTTATAGAAAAGGTTTCAACTTTCTAATAAAAATACGTCGATGTAAATAAGGGATCCAAAATTTTCGATTTTGTTTATAAAATCACGTTACGGATCATATGATTTACTATGCCTGATTTTACTGGAAATGTTCCCATATGATGATATTCACTGTTGAACAAAAATATGATGTGATGTGGTAAATTACATTCTTGGTTAGTGCATATGATATCATTGTTTTTACAGAAGGGTGGCCTGATGATTAATTAAATCATGATTTAAATAAGGCGTAAACGATCTATTTTTTTTTCCAAAATATATTTTTTTTTTTTTTTTATCTTCAAAATGTTTAACTTTTACCCAATTTTCCCCCTTTTTCAAAAACGTATCTGGAAAGAAAATGCGTCAAGTAAAATAGATTTAACTATTTGGGAATCCGAAAAGAATGAAGTTCCATATGCATCTTATTATAATTCTGAATTGGGAAGGAAATTTATGAACTTAGATAAAAATAATGAGATTTATAAATATGTATTAAAAGAGTTTGAAAAATATCCTAGGTTTGATGGGGAATGTTTTGCAGCCGCAATTGCCTATTTGGATTCTCAAAAGTTGATAAAAGAACATTTCTTTTTTGATAAAAAAGATTTTAAGAATTATGCCCTTGCCGAATATTTGGTACAATATTTTCAATTTAAAGCTTTTGGTTATAAATATTTCTCATTATTCGCAAATTATATATATGAAAAAGGTTGTTGTTGTGCAAATGATGAAAATACTAAAATTTTGGAAAGAATTCAATCAAAAGTCGAAACTTTTACGGGAGACGATTCGATTATAAAATTTTTTTATGAAGAAGAATACAAGTACAAATATAATGATAAATCTTTACCAGATAAATTTAGTGAAAATACTGTGTCAACTGAATTAATTCAATTAAAATGTTATTGCTTATTTGCGAAAAATTTGGAAGAGGAGACAGAATTAATTAACAAACAAGAGATAAGGAATTTAAAGGAAACGATCGAAAAGTTAAATGATGAATTAGAATATGAAAGATCATCAAGACAAAATTTGGAATTTAACAATGAAAAAGTTCATATGGAAGAATTGATTTGTAAAGCAAAATCCAAAATTCGAAATGAACATCATTTTTTATTAGAATTTCTTCTTGAAACTCAGGAACAAATAATTCGCTTACAACATTTAGAAAATCTTGATGAACAAATTTTTCAATTATCTAAACGTCGATTAGAAGACGATAAGCGTGCTTTAGATGATAAGCTCAGTAGAGATGAATTACAAACTCTATGTGAAGTGAAAGAAAAATTAACCAAACTGCAAATAAATATGGAACAAATTTAATTTATATACTGTATTATTAAAGAATTATTATAATAAATAAACTAAATAATAAAACATATTTTTCTTTGTTATCAACGACCCTTTTTTAACAAATTTTTTTTTTTGATATTTCGTCTATGAAAAAATAAAATGTCCGGAAAATGTCACCGAAAATGTCCGAAAATACTGTGTACAAAATTTCATTCTATTGTCAAATTCAAATCTTGTCAGGACCACAATAAATAAATAATATTTATCGTAAAATTATCATTTTACAGCGGAAAGTGTAAATTATAAAAGAAAGTGCAAAATTCATTTAAAAAAATTTTGCAGGATGAATACCGAAAAGTCGAGTTTGATAAAAAAAAGAATTCAGTAATTTTACTACAAATAATGTCGTACAACTCTACACGGGATTTTTTGAAATAATTTTACTTAAAAAGGAAGTTTGTATGTCGTGGGAATAAATTTTTTCAAAATTAATTAAATTTCTGGTAAAGTTTTTTTTAAGACTGATTAAACTCTTCGACCATTATCATTCTAAATATGTATATATATTTTAGGTATTTATTTGCCAATTATGGATCGATGATAAAATTCAACAATGAAATAAAAAATAAAAAAAAAAAATTTATAATTTTTCTTTATTTCTTTGACCACCTCCAATAATGGAAATTTTATAATACACAAGGTATTAAAATTCGTACACGAATACTTTGTACATTACATCATTATGATATGACGTGACACAGTTTTCAGTAGATTAAACATACATATAATGAATGATACATATAAATGACAAAGTCTCGTTCTACCAAATGCTTAAATGATTTCCTATTGCTTGCCAGAGCTATCTACAGATTCCTTGAACGCTTCTACAACCAACGATCCTCATGATACCCTTATAGAAATTGACGATAGAACATCCAATGATGTCAAGAATTTCGACGCGCATGCAAGCGTGCTCCGAAGTAAGTGCGAATATTTCAAGGTCGCATTATCAGACAAATGGGCGACAAAAATTGATGATAAGTATAAGTTAAAATTGGACGGTTCATCCGATGCCTTTGAAGTAATCTTAAAGTAAGTCTTATTCGCGAAGAAATACTCCAGTGATATATATATATATATATATATATTTGTTAAACCTTTCACATTATGACAATGATGGAAACTTGTAGCGGTATCTGTAGCGGAAAGATCGTTTTAAACAATCCGGATACGGATCTTTTGATGGAATTGATGTTGATATCTGACATCCTACTCCTCCACGAGTTTATCGACATTTTAAGATCCGAATTGGATGGAAAAAAGGATAAGAACAAAAAATGGTGTGATGATGATATTATTTCCAAATTTAAAACCTCTTATCGAATTTCACTCCTTCAAGACCTCTATTCATATTGTCAAGAAATCTTTGTAGAGAGACCGTCGATTTATTCGATTCCCCGACATTTCCATCGATTGATGAGGAATTTTTGTTGTGCATCTTGAGGCTGGACGTGATTTACTTTCCTGAAATAAAAATTTTTAATAAATTGATTGAGTGTGGCATAGAAAACACCCCCGGTTTCGTAATTTCAATCGATAATACATTTGATACGTCTCGAATCGATGCATTAAAAAGGACTATAAAGAATGGGTTGCGATTGATTCGATACAACGAAATAAAGTATAAGGAGTATGAGACTTTAATTCTCAAATATGATCAAATATTCCCAACGTCAAGACCCCAATATCGAATCCCACGTCGTATTAATTCACCCGTTGAACCAAAGATCATTAGTAGTAGACTCGCCGGATTAATTGCGACATGGATTGACAGAAAGGATCCCACAGAAGAACCATATTAGACACTCCATTCCAATTTAGGCACGTGTTTCGCATTAACGATCAAACAACCTTCTTTCGAGAGAATCATAAATATTATAACACATCTTTATGTGGAACCTTACCAACGGTCAAATGTCATCACGGACCTTCACTGATGATCATGAAATTTCGAGAATCCGAATTGGTGCATACAATCCTATCAATTGGAAACGAGATATTCATAAAAAAGTGTATGTTGCTACATCGGAAAGTTTCCTTTTTTTTGTGATGATAAGTATGGTACAAATCATCGGTTAAGCAGGGTTCGTGATTTTGATCACGCAATCTGCTTAGACGTGCGTCCCAGCGGCAGCTTATTGAAATTTGGGGAAGATTTAGTATTTAATTATTATTGTTATTATTCAAGAGATATAGATGTCTTTTGTGAATTTCATAACAGATTTTACGAACAACTAATCGGATTGAAAGAGGAAAGATATAGAATTGAAAAATGGGATATTTTTACAATCGGTAGAAAAGATAATCAACCAATGATGGTGATGAATTAAGACGTTAATTATGAAATTCCACCCTACATTATTAGTAAATCTATCACAAAGATGATTGAAAGCGACTTCTTTGAGTTAATAGCGACATGGATCGGCAGAAAGGATCCCGTGAATTCTCGGTACACAGCCTCCAATATGTCGTATAAATTTACTCCCATATTTCTCATGAAAGATGATACGGACTTCTATTATCAAAATCGTAAGTACTATAATAGATCATATGATGGATTATTGCCAACGATGACATACCATCACGGACCTTCACTGATGATCATGAAACTTCAAACATCAGGAAAGTTAATTGGAGGTTATTATCCCATCGGAACGAAAAAAGGATTTTTTCGCTTTGATGATTATCAATATGCAACAGAAAGCTTTGTTTTCTCTAGTGAAGATGTGCATGGAGCAAATCATGTGTTAAGTCGTGTTAAAAACCCCGATAAAGCAATTCGCATATCTTCTCCCGAATCTTTTCACCCCAATTTCACGCTGTTAGGATTTGGTAAATCTTTATCATCTTCATTAAATATAAACTTTAAAGAAGATGATTCTGTGTCTTGTCGTATTAAGCAAGATGAATTTTATGAGCAACCAGCAATAATGTCTGAAGGCGATTACAAACTTGATGAATGGGAAATTTCAGAGTCACAGAAAGAGCTAATCCATCTATAAGCGCTGGTCAAACTTCATCTCGAAATTATAATCGAGCTAAATTTGATCGAGAAAAACATACTCGTAATCGAGAAATGTATAATCGAATTCCACCTCGAATCGACTCACCTGAAGGTTTTATAGAAACGTTTGATGAAGATTTTGTATTGTTGATTGCGTCATGGATTGGTAGAAGAGAAGTTCCATATACTTATATGAACATGCAATACCAATTTAAACTTTTGTTTGACAAGGATGATCGGACAACACTTCCTAGAAAATATTATAATCAATCAAATTTCTACTCACTACCAGCCATGAAATGTCACCACGGACCGTCACTAATGATAATGAGGATTAAAAGTTCTAAAGAGATCATTGGAGCCTATAATCCTATCAGTTGGCAGCTAGATTTACCGAATGGTAAAGATAATTATGTTAGAACGACAGAAAGTTTTATTTTTTCGAGTAAAGACGTACTTGGAAATGATCATCGATTAAGCCGAGTTAAAGAATTTGATAAAGCCATTATTCAGACGAAAGTACATCCCAACGCCGTACTCTTGAAATTTGGTGAAGATTTGACCACTTTTTATCATCATGGATTTGAGAATGAATTTGAACCAGATAATGGCTGGGAGATGAGGACGTCATTTCTTACGTAAATGCGTCATCGGAGAGAATGGATTTTATGAACAACCAGCTATCATGCCTAAAGGCGCATATGAGATTGACACGTGGGAGGTCATCAGATAATAATCAGGAATCTTTAGTTTAATTCAGTATAAAAATAAAAATTACTTTATTGTTTTAAATGAAATTTGAGTCGCATGTAAATAAATAAATATATCGTCCGAGTTATTATTTACAAATTTTATTTTTCTCTTCTTTATGAACAAATTTTTTCCTATGATCATAAATACTATTGTTTATTTTTATAATATTATTTTCTATTGATTGAAAATATAATAATCTTTTAGAGATCGACATCAAAAAGTGGCATAAACAAAAAACTGTATCATTTAACAATTTAACAATGTCTAAAATAAACGAATAAAAAATTATTTCATTTAACTTTGTAACCAAATCTTACATAACGATAATTTTAAGGTAAATTGTAAAATGATAAAGCTCAATAATATATTTACTTCGACAAAAAAAAGGAAAGGTTAGCCTAAAACATATTTGGACCTAAGATATTCTAAAAATTTTTTTTAAAAAAAAAAAATAAAATAAATTTGCATACATTAGAGTCAATTTCGAATCCTTAGAAAGCATTCATATAATTATTATATCATCCTCAATTTTTGTTCACTTAAAACTCGGGGCAAATTAAAATAAAATTACCTAATTACGTACAATGTGCGCCTTCACAAGATTGAGATTAAGTTAATCTAGTTTACAAACAAAAAACGTAATTAGTCAACATCAAAAGTCACGTGATTATATCGAGGAAAATTTTTTTTAATAATATTTTTTAAAACTATTTATTTAAAAACGGTTAATAACACAATAAACAACTAAAGGACGTAATGGCATTATTTAAGAAAAAAAAACTGTAATTTGCGATGATGGTATTTGACGACATTTAATTCTATTGGTTCTTAGAAATAATTTCCAAATACAACATAATTTATTCGTGATTCTATTTTGAAAACTTGAGATTCAAAATTTTCTTTCCATGGAAATTTCCATGGAAACATCTAGTGGCAGTTATGATAAACAAAAAAAAAATTTGGTTTTTTTTTGGTTTCCATTATTTAAATCGTTACTCGATAAGGCAATTCAACAAAGTAAATTCATGATTAATAAGCTTTGTTTATTAAAAAAAAAAAAATAAAAAAAAGATTTGTTTATTGAAATAAACTGATAAAGAAAAAGAATTCGATTCAAGAACAAATCAATGATATTATAGATATCACTGATTAAAAATTCAAATTTGATTTGAATGATAAGAGATTATTATTTTTCATTATATCTCTATATATTCTTTTGGTGTGATGATTCAATGAAACTGATCTGCTAATTGCATTTTATTATATTATTTATATGACATATGATACAATCAATATAAATTTGAAACCGCGCGTAGTCATTAATAAGAACATACCTTGAATAAGTAACTAATGAATGCTTCAAAGATCAGATTATCAATCTTATAATCTTTCTTGTATTTTCTTGATGTTCTTGAACAAATTAAATAATTATAAAAAAATCATACGACAGTTCAACGATTATCATGCTTTCATATACTGATTAGAAATTTATTGACGGAGTTTAAAGTCCGTGAAATCGAATATAAATATAAGAAAAATCCTTTTTATTCTTTTTCTTCAATTACAAAACTATCGAATTCAAAACCTTAATTATATTGTTTTAATGATGGTAATGATTTATAATGTATAATCTTATATATACATTTAACAAAGTATGTTTGATAACAGATTACAAATTATATGATACAGCGAAAAAAAGACAAGCATTTAGAATTCAAACCATTCTTTCTGATCCAAATATTACAAAAGAAGAAAAAATAGAAGTCATACAATTATTAAAGAAAGATTATGACTATAATAAAATCCTTTATAATGAAGGATTAAAAAGACTTTGCGAAAATTGTGAACGTGAATGTTTAGCAACTTCATATTGTGAGCATTGTATCCGAAGCTATCTTCAAACAAACTTTTGTAATTCTGAAAATGAACGGGTCGATGATTTTTTAAAGCAGTGTCAAACTAAAACACTTGCTCCTGATAGGGTAGTTGAGTGGATCCCATACGATAAACTAAATAATATTAAATATCTAACTAAAGGTGGATGTTCTGAAATTTATTCAGCCGAATGGTCAGAAGGTCAATACATTGAATGGGATAATAAAGAAAGGAGGTTAAAAAGATTAGGAACACAAAATGTAATCCTTAAAACGTTGAAAAATATTATAAGTGCTAATAGAAATTGGTTTGATGAGGTATTTAAGCTAAATAATTTTTTAAATATCACCAAACAATATTTTAATAAATAAATCCTTTCATATAGGCGAAATCTCATTTGGCTATAAGCAACAAATGGATAGAAATTGTTCAATGCCATGGTCTAACCAAAGACCCGGTAACTAAACAATATTTTCTTGTCATGTCTCAAATGGATTTGGATTTAAGAACATATTTACAGCAAAATCATCATAATCTTGATTGGAAAGAAAAAATTAAGATTATTTACGATATAATAAATGCTCTTGATAGCATTCATCGAGAAAACCAAATTCATAGGGATTTGCATTCTGGAAATATACTATATTCCAAACATTTAGATTTGTGGTTTATAAGTGATTTTGGATTCTGTGGTCCGATTAATAAACCACTCGAGTCCATTTATGGTAACCTCCCATATATGGCTCCTGAAGTAATTAGTGAAAAAAAACATCAATATGCATCGGATATTTATAGTATCGCAATGCTTATGTGGGAAATTTCGTTTGGAAAACCGCCATTTTATAATCATGAACACAATTATGATCTTACAATGAAAATAATGAATGGAATGAGACCTAAAATTATGTCTTATGTTCCTTTGGAATATCAAAACTTGATGGAACAATGCTGGCATTTTGATCCGACTAAAAGACCAAAGATTCATGATCTTTTAAACAAGATCAGAGAGATTGGTGAAACTTATTATCTCGATGAGAATAAGAATCAGTCAACTATTCATCAAGAATCATGTAATCATTTGCAAGTAAACAGCCTTTTAAACATAAGTACTAGAAGTGACATTAGTTATTTTTTTCGATTTGGAAATTCAACAAGAGGTAATATACAATTTTATAATCATATTATTTGATTTCATATTTTAAATACAAATTAAAATATATAAATATTTGATTTATTTAAAACAAACAGGGCAAGAAGGTATTTAAAAATTGAAAGCACTTTATTTGTTTAAAAAATATATAATTTCTAAGGTCCATTTCTTCAATTATAAGCATTCCATAGTAAATCTTATGATTTTAATATTCCGACAGTAAATATTTTTTAAATTAATTAGCCATCAATATTTAATATTTAAGTTGATTAACAATAATAATTTAATTGTTGATTATATTAAATAGATTTTGGTAGAATAGTAATAAACTATAGATGTATTCAGATAAATGGTATGTGCTTATTGAATAATCATTAATTCAAATATTATTTTAATTTAATTGATGATTTTTTTATAGATATTCGAAATCGATAAAAAATTTTCATTAAATATTATTATTTTCATTCACTTGTGTAACATTATAGTTTTTTTACATTTAATGTATAGATTTTTCGATGTATAATTATAGATCGGAACTTTTTAATTGATAGTTTAGGAAAAATAAAATTCAATTATTAGTTCATTTCGAAATTAACATATATATTCTATTGGTAACAATTTTAACAATGTTTTTTTTATCGACTAAATTAGTTTTTGCATTGTTAAATGAATTTATAGCTTGCATTTTTATTGGTTGTCAATTAACTGACCTACTGCGAATACACGTGCTAAATTTCAGGGGTATTTTTCCAATCCCGTGAATAAATGATCAGAAACGATCGTCGTATTAATGTGAGAATACCTTCTTATATAATTTAAACTTAACTGGATATTTTAATAAAATAGGAAGTAAGTTACTAATTTAAACTCACAATAATAATTCGTGATTCGTGTAACAAATGAACAAATCTTAATAAAGGTAAAGCTGATATTTCTATATATCATCAATTATTTGATTCAAAAAAAAAAAATTTAAAAATCTTATCTATCGATAAACTTATAGTTCATCCTTATAATCTTATCAGTGGATCTAGTTGAAAGAAAAATAGGTAATCTTATTATTTTTAACACAGCTTTGCCGATCAAATTAAAGATTTTCCATATGCCACTGCAGATCGGACATTTTTCTTGTGATAAAAAGTTTGCCAAGGCAATTGAATTAATAAGTGTAACACGAGTGTAAATCTAGTTTTTAAAGTGAAATCTAGAAATATTTTATTGGAATGAATAATTAATTAAGCAAAACAAATGAAATTTTTTTTTTTAAAAAAAGGAAAATTTGTCCGACAAAACTTTTGAATAAAAAAGATAAAGGTTTAACGAATGTTATTATATTACATATATCGAGACAAGCTTTTTTTAAAATTTCCATTTATGGTGATAATCCCGAAAATAAATTTATTAAAGTCCGAAAATAGTTAGATTTTAGCAAATTAAGGACTATTTATACAATTTATATCTTTTCTCGTTAATTGCGAAAAAAATAAAAAAATAAAAAATAAAATGCATCTTATAACTCGAGAATTAGGTAAAACTGGAGTTAAAATTCCAACAATTGGTTTAGGATGTATGGTTAGTAATTAATTGTCATTGTAACTTCATAACATTAGAAATTTCAAATAATTATTTCAAACTTTTATTATTTTGAACTATATAAATCTACCGCATGATATATATTTATACAGGGAATGTGCCAATGTTATGGACAATCAGACGAGAAAACAAATATCAATATATTGAACAAATCAATTGAATTAGGATGTATTTTTTGGGATACTGCGGTAATGTATAATTCGATAGAATATTTCAAATTGACAAGAAAAAAAAAGAGTATAAACTAATAATTTATGAAATTATGATTTTAGGATACATATGAAGAAAATGAGTTCCTTTTATCAAAAGTTCTTAAAGAACGTCGTAATAAAGTATTTCTTTGTACAAAATTCGGAATCGTTGGAACTTCAGAAGGAGTAATTGTAGGTATAAAAGGTGATCGTGAATATGTTCGTCAAGCTTGTGAAAAATCCTTGAAAAGGCTTGGGGTTGAATATATTGATCTTTTTTATCAACATCGTTTGGATCATAATACGTAAGTCTAAATCAGAACATTCATGTAAGCTTGAAAAATTTCAAAAGCCAGTACAATAGTTTTATTAATTTAGTCCTATTGAGGAAACCGTTACCGCCATGGCGGAGCTTGTGAAAGAAGGCAAAGTGAAATATATTGGACTCTCAGAATGTTCTGAAACCATACTTCGACGAGCTCATAAAGTTCATCCAATAGCAGCTTTACAGGTATAACATTTAAATTTTTAGAATTGTTGAAATCTAAAGTAATATTAAATATCAAGACCCACCCACTCCTTTGTATAAGATGGAATATAGTCCATGGACACTTGATATTGAAAAAAATGGAATCTTGGAAGCATGTCGGGAATTGGGTATTACTGTAGTCGCTTATAGCCCACTTGGTCGCGGATTCTTGACCGGAAAATTTAAATCAATTGATGACCTTGAGCAAAATGATGTTAGAAGAACGAGTCCACGTTTCATGGGTGATAATTTTCAAAAAAATTTGGAAATTGTTAAAAAAATTCAGGAATTCGCTAGCAAGAAAGGTGTTACCGCGAGTCAACTTTGCTTGGCTTGGGTATTGGCCCAAGTAATTACATATTTTATCAAATACTTTTCTAGTATGTATGCTTTAAAATTAATTTGTCAATTTTTTTTAATAGGGAGATAATATTATTGCTATTCCTGGTACGAAGAAAATTAATCATTTAGAAGAAAATATTAACGCAGCCAATGTACAACTTTCTTCCGAGGAATTATCAGAAATTCGTCAAATTATTAACTCTATTAAAATTTCCGGTAATAGATGCAGTGAAGCAGTAGCATCTGTAAGTATTAATTACAAATATTTTTTTTTTTTTTTTTTTTTAATAAAATAATAATTTTTTATTTTATTGTTGTAGATCTTAAATATGGAAATCATTTATTAATAATATTAAATTAATTAATTATAACATTTCATTCTCTATAATTTAATAAAAAAAAACTTTCCAACTCAATCTTATACATTATTTTAATAATTTAGATTAGATTATTCATATACGCAATTAACTAATGTTTTTAACGTCGAAGATTTTATATAGATATATATAGGATAAATTTGATAGAATTGAAAAGAAGCAGTTATCAGTTTTTTCAAATAAAAATCACGGGGATCAAGAGCAAATACAAAATGCACTTTTATACGTTCAGTGTCAATTTTTTCAAGAAAAATCACTGTTCGGCATATAGAAAAACTGTACGTAGCTACCCCACTGCTCCTTTGCGCCCCAATCGTAAAAAAATAGCTGTACGACATTTTGCGCTTGATTATATCAAATGTTGGTTTAGAAAATGCTTCATCTTATATAATAAAGGTAGGCTATAAATTTTACTAACAGAAAGTGTATATTAACATCACGTGTCGACGTAAATATATTAAACATTCGTCAAGTGTCAAATTTTTCAAAGAAAAATAGAAATAAAAAATTATGGTTTTTAATACTTTCTATAGAGTCAAATTAAAGGATTAAATCTTTCAAATGCAAAATTTCTTATTAACATATGAGTGTTCAAATTAATTATAAAGATTTCAATACTGTTACAAGAAAAGTAATTTAAGATAATTAAATATTATAATTTAAATAAATGACAACTAAGATTTTTATACAATTTAATGAACATAATTATTAGAGACATTTAAAATCCAACGAGAAAAAGAGAGAAAAGTTTTGTCAAAATCAGATTAATTTAATTGATGAAATATATATTTAAAATTAGACTATCAATTTTGACAAAAAATTTCCTGCCCTAACATGCTAACAACCAGAATAAGTCAATAGTGTCACTAACTTATCAAAAAATAAAAAAAAACATGAACTCTTCTAACAAAACAGCTGACAGCTTCCTTTTCAAAAAATTGACTTAGATATTAACACATCACGCTTTCATCCGCCACCTGCATCTTTTTTTCTTTTTTTTTTTTAATAAAATGATTATTACTAAAAAAATAGATGGACATTAATGACCATGGTTTTATCTAATCATTATTAAGAAAATAAATTAGGTCATTTATACGCGTAAATAATAAAAACAATTCGCGAAAATTTTTACAAATCACATGATTAAACGAAAAAGGAAATTTATAAACAAAACATTCGGTATAATAAAACATGCTGATTAAACAAAAAAGGAAATTATAAACAAAATATTCGGTTATAAGTAAGTAAATTTTCAGAGTCAAATTCATTTCCTTTTTTTTTAAAAAAAAAATTTTCAACAGCTCTCTCTCTTAATTTCAATTACAAACTAGAAGATTTTAAAAAAGGTATATCACAATTTGTTTTATATGTTACTGTTTGTTAGAATACGGGAGCACACTTTATTTGATTAGTGGTCATAAGAATTATATTTACGTGTGGATCTGTTGCTAGTTCAATTGCCGTTCGTTTGTTCTTCTTATGAAGCCTATTCTAACAAATTTTTTTATTTTGTATTATATTCAAACGCAACTTCAACACTACGCTCTGTCTGGGGAACGTCACTGAATATTAAGATCGACAATTTTATCAAAGTACGTAGGATGTATAAAAATACAGAAGAACATTAACAAAATATAAAAAAGGTATATCACAATTTGTTTTATATGTTACTGTTTGTTAGAATACGGGAGCACACTTTATTTGATTAGTGGTCATAAGAATTATATTTACGTGTGGATCTGTTGCTAGTTCAATTGCCGTTCGTTTGTTCTTCTTATGAAGCCTATTCTAACAAATTTTTTTATTTTGTATTATATTCAAACGCAACTTCAACACTACGCTCTGTCTGGGGAACGTCACTGAATATTAAGATCAACAATTAAATCAAATTATAAAAGAATTCAAAGCAAGAAAATACGAAGGATCGAATTGTATAAAATTACAGAAGAACATTTTATGTAAGATGGCAAAATATAAAATATGATGGAAAGAAACATTAGACAATAAATTATTCTGGTTATTTATTAAAAATGTAAGCATTATAATTTTATTTAGGGGATAAAATATATAATTAATGTTATTATTCTCTTTAATAAAAAAAAAATATATTATTTTAAAAATCTTTATAATATATATTATTTTGTTGTTTTTTTTCTTTCGCTTTTATCGTTTTTTTGATTTTAGAAAATCAAAGAGTTTTAGTTTACATCTTTAAAAGTTATTGTCTTTAGCAGTAATTTTACACAACGACCTTGAAAATGATTACTGAATCAAAATGGAACCAGCACATACCTTTTATTCCATCCTCACACCTACATTAAAATATGTATGAGGATAAGTCACAATAATATGCTGCATTAATTCATTATTGTTTTGCAAAAAAAAATATAAATATAATTTTATACATTTGAAAAAATTTGAATTCAAATCATATTACAATTCGTAATGAATTATCATTTTAATCAAATTTATAGAAAATTATTATTAAAAATAAAATCGATTTTAAATGTCGTAATGTATAATTCCAAAAAGAAAAATATTGTTCACAGTAATAATTTTTTTTTAAGAATAAATTATCGAAGAAACAGGGAGAATTTAGAAGTATTCCAAAAGTATTTCCAGATCAAAAAAAAGAAGTATATGGGTGGTGTGCTATTAAAATTGAGGTACGGATCATATGTTTTACGATGTATCGTACATCAATAGCATACCACCCATATTATCTACATCTTTCTTGACTTCAAATTTAAAAAAAAATTGCAATCAAAAAAATCAACTAAACACGTTTGTTAAAACATAATTTCGTCAAAAGTTCCTATCTACTATGGTGTTTAAAATGGATCTGGCTTTCGTTTGAGAATCCAAGAGAGACTTATTGAGTTGGATGAGCAAACTTCGATGATAAGTTTTTTTTGATTTAAAATATAAAAGAAGGCATGTGTACTGAGCAATAAAAAAAATATATTTAGTATAAATCGGTTAACTTTTTGAAAAGAATAAATGAAGCCAAAATAATTTACCACACAAAATCCTTTTTTTTAAAAGCACATCACAACGTTTCTCAAGTTTCAGCAATTTCCAATATGCCAATTCAATGATATTATGCACTGTTTCTATAGTAATAATGAATAAGTTACATTAATAACAATTATTAATGAAAATTGAAAGTAAATTTAAACCTAAATCTTACCGGCTTCAAATTTTTCATTCCTTTTTGAGCCTTTCGGTTAGCCATTTCCTTCACATAGTTATGGAACTATATCGCCGCCATGAGAAAGTTCTGGTATATGGGTAGTGTGCTATTAAAATTGAGGTATGGATCATATGATTTACTATGTCTCTTTAATAGGATACCACCCATATGTTCAGCAAATTTGTATTTCTGGAGTTTAACGAAGTATCATAAAAGATCCTATGATTCCTTGTTGTCACAATCTATTCAAAACAAATTCATCATATTAGAGAAATTTATTATAGTTAAATCATATTATAGAATCAGTTAAACTTACTCAAACAATTTTTGCTTTAAAAATTCCCCATGGTTTGATGATTTGACGGTCAAGGTGTTTTTAATATCTGATGTTATTAATAAACAGGAGTAGTATTATTCGTAAATTCCTTAGTAAATCATTAGAATCAATCAAATCGAAACATAAATATTACTTACGCAAGAGAATATTTTCGAATAATCAACCTTGACATTTAAATTTTGCGTGTTTATGAACAATCCACATCATGGAAAATCTACGTTATTATAAAACATTAAAATTAAAATATAAATAGACAAAAAATTTGCAAAATACTTAGATGCCTACCCCTAAGAATTAACTTTATTTAGTTTTTTTACCGGATATTTTCAAATCAAAGTTGACCAAGCTATTCATATTATTTATAATAATTCAGTATTTCGGAAAACCTTGGTGCATTTCAGTAATAAACTTAATCACATTCTCCTTGTTTGTGCTAAGTCGTCAATATAATGAAGTAAAACCTATTAAATAAAGGATTCATGAATTATATGTAATGTTCAAAATTATACATTTATAAACTTTTACTTACTCCTTCATCGTTCTTTACAAATTGGAGTTCAGATCACTTAATAACTTTGATTCTTGCGGAATTCCAACCTCTTGTAAATAGTATTTATCCTCGAACTATTCACGTGAATGAATGTAAAGTTAGTAAAGTTATTTAATAAAATTTAGAAAATAGAAAAATATTATATTTGTTTGCCTTTTTAATGTTTATCCAACTGATCCGCATATAGAGGTTGGAACCGGCCCCAAATCCTTAACCGGTTAATAACCGGTTAAAAGATTCTTTAACCGGTTAATTAAACGGTTAAATTTAACTCGGGCCGGCACTATTAATTTGGGCAAAACCATCGAAATTTTGTAATCACAAAAAATTTTAATTCTGCCCGAAAATTAAATTTGGACCAGAGTTAAAATTAAATATTAAGCCGGTAAAAAATCTTTAACCGGTTAACAAGATAAACGTCCTGTTCCAACCTCAAAATCTCTGGGCAAATTCGGTAGCATATTCTGGAAAGAGTACTTCAAATTCCTTTATAATTTTTATCAAAGGATTATTGTAAGAAACTAAACTAGATTTTTTCATAGTTAATATATCGAAAAAACCATACCTCCATTATTAACATAATAATTACACCTTTTACGAATATTACTATCTTTTGGACAAAACACTTCATGTTTCCAGTCCTTGAACTGGGCTTAGGACCGGTCCTATTAATTTGTCTAAGACGTGTCTTACCAGGACCTATCCTACCCTAGTTGACTTTAATAGATTGTGGCTTCTTCATACTTTTACGAGTGGTAGCCTTTTGAAATTAGAAACAATACATTAAGTTTGGAATCTTAAAAAGAAGAAAATTTCTTATTAACAAAATGTCTAATATTCCCTTACCATCTTTAGAGTAAATTTTAATTATAATAACTCAATTCTTTTCTTCCAATATTTCAGAAATTTTTTCTGGTGGAATTTCTTCAAACACAGAACTTTATACAAAACGTATTACGATCTTTTATCATGAACGTTTGACAAAAAAAAGATTACTGTGTCAAGGCTAGTAAACTAGAGGCACAGAGATATCATTCAGGACGACGCAAGACACTTATTTTCGCCCTAGTAGGTTTATATAGTGAACAAGTCTTGGGAATTATTTAGTTGTTAAAACAACTATCACTGAGGTTTTGAGAAGATTCTCCATTTCATCTTTGATAGTAGGGTTTAAATTATAAATATTTTTATGTATTTCTATCAAGCGAAGGCTTTCATAAAAAAAACAAAGTTTTCTTCATTATATAAAAACTTCATATCGTTTTGTCAAACATTTCGTTACTATTTCGCCAATTATATGTTTTAGTAAAATCATGTGATCAAAACCTGATTTTTGTACGTACTAACCCATATATCCAAAAATAGTTAACAATTTTAACGAAAAAAATTTTTAGTTTTATTCATAAAATCTTTTTCTATTGGCTTCGCTAAATTTCTATAATAAAACGAAATTTTAATAAAATGTTTATATTTTGCAAAAATTGCTAAAAATTTAAAGATATACATTTTAAAATAGGTAACAAGTAGTAGACTATCAGCTATGCTATTAAATCACGTTACGGTTTATGATCTACTATGTTATTTACTCAATTAACCAATATTATAAATACCTTTATGGATATAAACTTCGAAAAATTCATATATGCTGGCTTTTATGGTTATAAAAACCATACGTTCCATACATAGAAAACCATCCCATACAGGATTTTTAACACCCATTTATTCATACATTTATGTATGGTATTTCCATATGTGTATGATTATAAAGGACCCATACGTTCCATAATTAGAAAACCATCCATACAGGTTTTCTTTACATTATAAAATTCTGGGTCAGGTATTACAGATTGGAAAATCTAATTAACGCATCTTGGTAGTTAATGTATTTAAGAACTAATCAAAATCCAATTATGGTAATGCGGATATTCAAAGAATTTAACTTAATATGTAATTACAACTAGAAATAAAGAATTGTCCAAATTTGGCAAATTATCGAATTTTAATATCGATTCACTTAATTAATAATTAATAATAGTAAATTATGGTAGTAAAAATAAATAAGGAATAAACTAAAATTGCCAAAATTCAGTGAAATTCTAAAAATATTTTGATGTAACCGGATAATCATTAATTTCAAAAAATTCTTGAATGGATTCAGCTAATTCCCCCGAAAATAGTTAGACTTTTGTAAAATCTATTTGCTGCGGCGTTCAAATAAAACTAGACTTTTGTCATTCGGAATAAGAGAAATCATTAATAAAAGTTTTTTTTTTCTCTCTTTATAAAGTTTTAAATACAGTATCTCATTTTTTGTTTCTTCAGAATTTCTCGTGAAATTTATTAAAAAAAAAAATATTAAAATGCCGCTTCCAACTCGTGAATTAGGTAAAACCGGAGTCAAAATTCCAACAATTGGCTTGGGATGTATGGTGCGTTTATATAAATCAACACATCATTTTTTTCTCTTTTGCATTATTGAAAATCATCTTTTATTTATTTATTCATTTATTTTTTTAAAAAAAAAAATTACAGGGAATGAGTGATTTTTATGGACAATCTGAAGAGAAAGAGAACATCGATGTATTGAACAAATCAATCGAGTTGGGAAGTTACCTTTGGGATACTTCGGTAAAGTATATTAGATTTTATTTGATTTTTGAACTACTGATACAAATAATGATAATAATTTCTTTTTATACGTTTGAATTGTTGTTACCTTTAGGATATGTATGGAATTGGAGCTAATGAGATCCTTGTATCAAAAGTTCTTAAAGAACGTCGTAATGATGTATTTCTTTGCACCAAGTTCGGAGTATTTCGAAATCCAGATGCTCCAGGAGCAGAAAATATGATTATTAAAGGTGATCGTGAATATGTTCATCAATCTTGTGAACAATCCTTGAAAAGTTGATTATATTGATCTCTATTATCAACATCGTGTGGATCCCAATACGTAAGCATAAAATCAAATCGTTCATTTTAAGGTACAAATACAAAAAAAAGTCTACATTTTTTTTTATTTATATAGTCCTATTGAGGAAACCGTTGCCGCTATGGCGGAACTTGTGAAAGAAGGCAAAGTGAAATATATTGGACTCTCGGAATGTTCTGCGAAAACACTTCGACGCGCTCATAAAGTTCATCCAATAGCAGCTTTACAGGTATGATATTTCAAATTTAGAAGTGTTGTGATATTTTGTATTATTTAAATACCAAGAGCTCCCTTTTTTTATAAGGTCGAGTATAGTCCATGGACACTTGATATTGAAAAAAAATGGAATTAATAGCCCACTTGGTCGCGGATTCTTAACCGGAAAATATCAATCAATTGATGATCTTGATCAAAATGATTCTAGAAGGACGAATCCACGTTTCTCGGGTGATAATTTTCAAAAAAATTTAGAAATGGTTAAGAAATTTCAAGAATTCGCAAGCAAGAAAGGTGTTGCCACAAGTCAACTTTGTCTGGCTTGGGTTTTAGCTCAGGTATTTAAACATTCTGTCATATTATCATATTTTGAGCAATGTCCTAGTTACCTTTAAAACTTTATTACATTTCGATTTTCTTTAGGGGGAGAATATTGTTGCTATTCCTGGTACAAAAAATATCAAATATTTAGAAGAAAATGTTGGCGCAGTTAATGTTCAACTTTCGCCTGAAGAATTATCTGAAATTCGTCAAATTATTGACTCTATTGAAATTGTTGGAAACAGATATAAACCTATGTTTGCAGCTGTGAGTATTTTATATATTTATATTTTATATATATATATTTTTTATTATGATAATAACTTTTAAATTGTTTTTTTTTTTTCTCAGCATATTGAAAATTAATGAAAATTATATAAATAGTATTTGATAATAAAATAATATATATTCTTGATTCCATGTTTAAAATTAATTATTGAAGGCAATGCTTTACTTTTTTTTTCTTTAAAACGATATTTTTCTATAATTAAAATTTCGACGTCATGAAACGCTAAACCCTTTTTAAAAAGAGAATTGACTTATATTTAGCGAGAGTGTGCGTGCAATTCTTGAAAATTTGGTACTTTTTAAAGCAAAACAATCATAATATTTATTTAGTATTCTTCCACAAATATATAAAAAGAGAAGGACGTTCTTTTCTTCAAAAGAGCGTGTTGATGCCATACATACATTCAATTTATAAACTTAATTATTTAAAATTTTTTATTAAATGTATAAGCTCTCACTTCTAAATATTTGAAAAATGTTCAATAAAAAAAAATCTATTCTAGTCCAGATTTATAAAATATTATGTCTATGTTCGATTATGCATATTTTGAACATAAAAAGTACTTAGAGGAACTATAGGAACAACTGCAGGTCCAAAACACATTCTACTTTTAAAATCATCGAGATCAGTAATTATAATATTATCTTCTGATAATGTATAGCTATTTACATTATCGTTAGCACTTTTAAAAGTTCTTAAATGTAACGACAATTTTTTAATCTGTGATGATTTTGGATGAATATACATTTTATAAAACTCCAAAACGTCATCTTTGGTAATATTTTTAACTTCTTCGGCATCCTTAATATCTTTGAAAATTATAAATATATAAATATATATTCAAAAGGAAATTGCAACAAAAATATTTTAGGATTGGTCACTTACTTTTATCAAATTCGCAATAGCCACTAAAAATCTGATTAGAATATAAATTGGCTTCATGCCACATATTCTTTTCTTTTTCTAAGAGGTAATCAATTAATGATTGCTTTTGTTTTTGAAATTCTTCTTTTGTCATTTGTTCAATAATTGACTGTATTTAGTTTATTCGAAGAAAAAGCTATAAATAGTGTTCTATAACGTTTTTTTAATATTTCGAAATGATTTCAAATTTACCTGTGCTTCCATTAAACATGCTTCAATTCTATTTTCCAAATAAATAGGATCTCTAACGCTTTGTAAATTAATTAGTAATCCCGCTTCTCCTATTGAGCTACTTGGATAGCATTCTATTAAATGAAATGTGAAAATAAGTACTTTTTAAATGAATGGATTTTAGATATTACATCCTTACCTAATTGACCATCGAGACTTAAATAATCAAAAACAGGTTTTTGCCAAATTTGAGAAATTAATTGTAATCTAGTCGCAACGTATCTATTCATATTATCACCACATTGCAAATAGTATCTAACAGTATTATTTAATTCATATTTATCTAAAATATTTCTTCTATAAACAAATTTCTTTCCTTTAGTTAAAATGATATCCCTACTTTTAACCATTCTAGATTTCTCAAGAACCTTTGGTTTAAATTCATTTTCAACCATATAAACGATCTTTTTTGCATACATTGATTCAATGTTACCAAATACAAAAGTTTCCATATAAAATTGTCCAAATAATTCAGTACAAAATGATTTGACCTCTTCCATTCTGACATCCTTTAATACAGCTGACATTTCTTCCGCCGAAAAATACCAATCTCTAAATAATTGACAATCATATAATACTAATGGTGGATTTAATTTCATATTATTATAACTTTCCATTAACCTTTCCTTTAATATGTTAAATCTATTTGGATTGATCACGAAATTTCTCATTCTTTTTAAAACTAATCCTAAAAATTTTAATGCTTTGTCATTATATCCCGATACATTAACAAATATAATATCTCCTGTTACATAGGTTTTGTAATTTATTCCAGCAAGTAATGCATCATATGCTTCGTCAGCGAACGAGTCATTAAATAAATCAAAATATAATTCAGTTTTAACCAAATTCACTGGCGTAAGCTTTATAAGCGGTCTATTATATATATTTTCAAAAAATAAAGTTAATAAATATTGCATAAAGGAATAATAACTATGATATAAGCAACACTACGCACGTTGTAAATGACAAATCTATTTTCACTTTGGGTATCCACCATCGATCATCTTTTTTATACCAAACACGGCATTTGGCATCATCCCAAATAATATCCGGACGTGTTTTTGGCTGGAATAAAAAAATTCTTAATTAATAAAAGAAAATTTTCCGGAAACATAGGTCTCGATTGTGAATAAACTCACGGTTATGCTTTTTAATTTATTAACGGTAAAATTGGTAGGAATAAACTTATTTGATGGAAAAAGTTTGAATTTACAAGGAACGTCTAGCTTCTTAAGTTTCTTCACCATAAATGACAAAATGAATGTTAATACGATGCGATTAATTAAATTATAAAGCAAATATTTTACAAATTTTCTACTTACATTAATTAATGTTTCATTAATAGGCTCGTATCTATATTCGGCCCCAAACCAACCTTTTCCTTTATCTTTAACACTTTTGGTTTCACATTGATATTTATATTCGTCGTCAAACCATTCTTTTTTATCAAAATCATTACTTGCAACACTAATAGTGCAATTTTCAATTCTTAAACTTTCAAGTAATTCAATGATCAATTTTGGGTTGTATTCATATTCTTTAAATGGACCACTTAATATTCTATCACGCGTATATGGCTTATGTAACATGCGTGCTAGTGAACGAGTATCACTTGGTTCCCATTTTTTTTCTAAAAATCGCCGCCATGATATTTCATTCAATGATTTAACCTTTCAATATTAATGAAAAATTTTTAATCAATAATAAAGCTTAACTTAATTATAACTTGAATTACTACTTACTTCTTCAAAAATCCATTTTTGCGGACCTTTTCTTCTAAGCATTTCAATATATTGAAAAATGCTTTCCAAAACATTTTCGTAATTTCCTATTATAAAAAGGGATAAATCATAGTTTGAAATCAATTGTAGAAGATTTACGTTAATTACCTAAGCCGTCTTCAGTCAAATCACTCCTTATATTCAACATATGAAAATCAGCGCTGTATTCAATCGTTTTGACATTTATAGAAGTTATCCATCCTAGAAAATTAAAACCAAATTCATTAAATTTTTTTAAAGGGCGATTAAAAAAAATTTTACATCTTTGAAAATTTCTATTTAGAAAGATAATAATTCTTATTACCTCGTTGTTTCAAAAAGGAACAAATTGATTCAGCACCTCTATGACCTATGACATGACTTACATAAGATGCAGCCTTACAAAATATAATAATATAAAATATTAATTTTATCTTATAATGTACAGACAGTATAATTTAACTGTTTATTACCTTTGCTTTATAATTTTCTATTTGATTCGGTATAGGAATATATACTTCTAATATATGAATATCATTGAGAGGTCTCGCTATAATTTGTTTCTGTAAATAAAAATTAAGTTGATATTTAAAAGTACAAGGAATTATTTTTCAAAAAATGAAAAAATACGTACACATAATTCTACACCTTTTCTTAATGGTATTTCAACCTGTTTTAATGATTCGATATTCTTATTTTGAATATCAGAAAACTTTTTAACCACCCATTCAGTTAATTTATCTAATGGATCTATAGATTATGAAGTATTTTTGAATATTTTTTTAAAAAAATTTTTTAGTAATGATAATGATAAAAGTTATTTATTTAATAATTTTTTTTTTTTTTTAAAAAAAAAATTGTAATTCAAATAAAATTAACAAACGTACTACTTCCTAAAACACATAATTTCATTAGATTAGCAGAGTAATTTTTATTGTGCCATTTAATCAATTCTTCTCTAATGTCAACGCCTTTTTCTGTAGGTAATCCTTTTAATGTTTTTAAATTTCCTACAGAAAACTTTGAAAATGGATGTTTTGGATTGGAATGAAATTTCTGCAATTGAAATAATCTCCAAACATCGTCTTGAAGATATTCCTTAAATTCTTTTTATTAAAAAAAAATTATATATTTAAATTGCTTAGTTATAAAAATGGCAAGACAACACACCTCTACTTACCAGAATCTACGGCATTTATTTCTATTTCAGCACAATCAGCATTAAATGACGGACTAATAAAAATTTGTGCAAATCTTTCTAAAGCAGGTTCTAAATTTTCGTGGTCAACTTCAAAATCATAATTCGTATTTTCACTGCCGGTATAGGTGGTATAATGCACATAATGTTTATTTAAAAACTATAAATAAAAAAAAATAAAAGTTACAACAATTTTGAGAATTTATCATAAAAATCTGTATAAGTGAACACGTGATTCTACGCCTAAATTGATACCTTTTTCGTCCCCTATGAAATAAAATAAAAAAAATTAATATCAAAGAAAATTCTTAATAATAAAGATTCTAATTTGTTCCACTCCGAATATTTACCATAAATAATAAATGAGCGCAATAATGAGCAAGGCCTGGAATGTTCTGATATGTATATTTGAATATTATTTGTTAAATCATCCACACCTTCAATATCTTTACAGAATTATTCATACCTTATCAGAATAATAGCCGACATTAATATCCATAGAGGCAGCAGCTTTCTCAGCTTTAGCATCATGAATGATCAACGCTTCAAGTTTATTAGCTAATCGAACTATTCTATAAGAACGAGTATCATTATCTTGCTTTTCAATTTTTTTATTGAACACCATATGAGATTGATCTTTAGAGATAACAAAGTCCGGTAAAATATCGTTAAAGCATCCATTAAGACCATCGGATTCTAATATATAAGGAGCCATTTTATTGGAAAGCAGAAATGTTTGTTCTTGGAACTTAATCAATTGAACAAGATGCTTGTATTTATAAATAATTTCGAGAAGTACCAAAAAAAGGAACGGTCAGTTTTGTTATATGTAACATCTTAGATAATATTCATAACGCTCTTTCAAAAATTGCTAAATTAGTATACATTGAAGGGAAAAGAGATTTTATACTGTTTTTAAACTTATTGAACTTTAATCCACTGCAGAATTTTCTTTCAAAAGACTGCAAAAGATAAGTGGACGCTTCATTTTTTAGAAGGTATGATGTTTGTAATTACGCGTCATTTTAAACATTTAAAATTTACCATTAAAATTCATAACAAACGGATCCTTGGTGACACAAAAATGGCTGAGCATTAAATGTAGTTTTAAACCTGTGGAACCAAAACAGAACAAGCCAATTTTCCTGTGAAAGGTGTCTTTTTATTACCATAAAGTGTTTAGATAAAACTACAATGTTTGGACAGGTGATTTGTGTCAACAAACAAAACAAACAATCGGAGTTGTATCATTAGAAACAGGCCGAGTTTATCAAATTTTTGGAATTCGTTTTGTCGATCATTGAAATTCCAAAAAAAATTGCACTAAAATATTATTATACAATCGAAGTTTTATAATTCAATTTTTGATTTTTTAAATATTATGATAATTATCAAAAGTACTTAAATTCTATCTTAAAATTTTCTAAATAAGGATCTTTAGCTAAGGTCATTTCTTGTGTTTAATGATTCTAGCTTTTTTGACCAATTCTCACAATTTATTCAGTCATGACCATGCGATCTGGGGATATCACATTTTATACATTTCTCCGACCTTTCACTAAATACAAGCTTTATCATCCGATAATTCGATTATTTATCAATTTACAAGTAAAAAAGAGATTGAAAACGAAATTATCATTACATTAATTAGATTTCAAATTTTTTTGTGCTCTAGTAAGATGACAATTATTATGAGAAATACTGAATTTCTGTTGAATTATTGACTTTATATTTTGTATCCAAGAAAACAACATGAGAATCGGGTGTTTCATATCTTTATCAACAGTAAAGGCAAAAACTCCATTGTAACGAAGTTGCATGTTTAAATTCAATTCAATATTTTATTTAATAAATTTGTTCAGACGACAATTTTGCATAATTTTAATCGATAGGTTACGGTTCTTAATGATACATCTAAGTGCCATTAGACATTTATAAGTAACATTGCGAGTTGCTTTTTTTCCGTTCGTCGATGTGCAAATGTTAAGGTTATATTTTTGTGGGTCGATAAATATACTTTTAATATTAATATTATGTTAGTTTTACGATAATAAATGTACGGTCATGTGCTTTATGTTAAACCCTTAGCAGTAGCTAGCAATTTTGGAACTTCAGAAGCAACATTATATTGTTATTGGCAGGGGCGGTTCAATATCATCCGATAAACTGATATAGCCCCTGCACAACAAAATCATTTATTTATCATTCTTTCCACAAACTTGCGTTTAATATTAGAAGAGAAATTTAATGTAGATCATCTTTACATTTGTACTACAAAAAAAAAATAATAAAAATAAAGGACCAATGTAATCTCGCATTAAACCGAATCGTTAAAAAGTATTTAGTTCGACAATTAACTATTTTTAGTATACCATGAATGAATACCAAACTTCCAATGCTAGTGGGCATTTAATTTGCAAACCTCCAATAGTGCAATATACTTTATTTATGGTTACATCATAAGCATAAAAAAATATATTTCGAATTTTGATATATAAAAAGTAATAAAAAAAAGATGACTAAAATGGAGACGCTTTTGTTATACAAAATCAAGCCATGTTCTTTCTTAGAAGAACATTTGATCATATTAGTATAGTATTGAATGGTCAAAGTGAAATATACTATTTTTGAAATAACTGAAACTTTCTCAACATACTGCATGTTAGTGGGCACCTAATTTGTAATCTCTAATAGTGTCGTTTTAATAGTCGTTAAAATTTACTTATGTTGTACCTCCTCATAACTAAATAACTATTATGGTGTCACAATAACAGATCATGACTCAATTTGGGATAAAATAACAAAGGGAAATATACTATTTTTGAATTAACAAACTTTCAAAAGTTTAATGTGTGATCCAAACGCACAATTTTACAGCTTGTGTACAATAATTAATATTTAAATCTTTACAGTGATACCATATGTGGCCAATAATAATCCAAAATGAGAATAAATTTCTTGTATACAGTATTTACTGTTGCACGATCATCTTTTGGGATCATTTAATTTTTTTTCTTGATTTTTCGATGCCGAACTTTCATACACAAGCAACGAAATTATCAGTATGTTTACCTTGTTCATAATTTAAAGGACATGATACACTAAAATGAAATCTTCATTTTCAGAATCCTGATTGTCAAATATTTCATGCAGAATTTCTAATTGTTGTTCAAAGCTTCAATATTGTATAGCGCGTGTTGATGTTGCCTCATTGTTTGCGAGTAAAAAAAAGATAATTTACGACAATTAATCGGATTAATGAAATTGATTTAAAGTCGTTATATTTAAACAATTTTAACAAGTTTGAGATTCAAAAACGTTATTAAAATCAATATCCGACTTTGACGATTTTCCGAGTTTCGAAGTTCAATATGAAAGCATAATTATTTTTTATCATTTATATTTGTACAAGGTTAATCTTCATTTTCATTTTATTATAAACAAATAAGCCAACGAAGCAAAGGTCGTAAAATTTATTACCACTGAATAAAAAAAATACGTATTTAATTCTGAAAGATTATTCGTTCTTCACGTAGTACTAAAAGAAATGTTAGCGTTAGGCGTTTTGGCTGTGATTAAATATCCCTTTTGCCGGTTAATGTGAAGAAATCATAAAAGTGAACAATAATTTCGTATAATAAATTTAACTCGGGCCGGCACTATAAATTTGGGCAGAGCTAGCGAAAATTTATTCAATCATACGAATCTTAATTCTGAAATTTCGGTCAGAGTTAAAATTAAATATTTTTAACCGGTTAATTCGTTAATTAACCGGTTACATCTTAAAAATTTTTCCATGCTATTCAAATTGTTAATTTATTAAAAAAAAAATTATCAAATGCTGTGGTCAGTCTAGTATTAAAAAAAAATACACATGAAATTATGAAGATTTTTTACCACAACTTGAAATGGTCTTTTTTTTGTCCGAAGTATAGCGGAGGACCTTTTACTAGGCATTTGTAATGCAATACAATGTCGTTCTGTCCGCCTGATCGACCAATGATATTTTTGTTTACGATATCACGTGGTAAGTCTTTTGTGTTACATTTCATGGTTTCACATGACTTTAACGTATAACAATAATAAGTTGATATGCTGTATTATGCCGATCATTTGACCATTTAATTGGAGAGCATTATGATTTAAAGTTTAAATTTTTTTATTATGGCGTCGAATTATGCTTCGGACTTTGAACGGATCCCATTCCCTAGTTATTATATGAATTTCAAATTGAAGATAAATAACTTGAAAGAACTTGATATACCGTAATGTTGCTTGACAAATGGCGAGACTCAAAAAAGATGTCTTTTTAATTAAAAATTTCGCATTATATCATTTGCGCGGTAAAAAATAATTTATTCAGCAATAAAAGTTTAATATTTTGATTTTATTTACACGGTTTAATTTATTTAAATAATAGGTCGAAAAATACATTTATTCCATAAAATCAACACGTGACTTAATGATATGAATCGATGGACATATTTATCATCGTGGTCGTTTTGATATGAAAGTCGAATCATAAAAAAATAATAAATCATATGTTCTAACGATATAAATAGCGCTCACAATAAGCCAGCCGCTTAAATGGTTGACCGATATTGGTCAGGATATAACCGGTCATAACCAGTATTACTGTGACCATTTGCATCCCTACTTATGTATCATTTTTGATAAGAAAACAAGTATTATAGATGAAAAAATGATAAAATCTTTGTGTAAATTTCGTAAATTGATTATCTTTATCCCAAAGTCTTTATTTGATAAAATAATGATTTCATTTATCTAGCGCACTTAGGAAATTAATTTAAACAATTGAATCATTGCTTACCCTTCGGAACAATGTCTGCGGGATAATCTTTTCATATTGTTTGATTTTATAATTAACCTTGCTCTGATACAATATTTGTAAAGATTATCAAATTATTATTGTTAATACATCAGTTGATTATATCGTAAAGATTCTGATAACGTGTAAACATCCAAAAGTTTATAAAAAGGTTGATCTTGGAATAGATGTTTAAAGTTATTTATGGTGATTCATTTAGAAGAATCATGATTGTTAAAGGAAGCTGATGCTTATTTCAATGTATATTATATAATGATTGAATTATTTTCTTATTAACTTTTGTTTTATTTTTAGCAAACATTGGGAAAGATGGATTGTTGCTTATCTATTTTTTAAAATATTGATTATTTTTTATTCAATGGTTTCTTGCGTTACGCAACGTGAAAACGTCACACATAATCTGCGCAAGTGAAGTTCTTACAATCTGTTCTTTTTAATGAATCATTAGACTTATTCATTCTAAATTTTACCTTTATTTTTTTTTAATTAATTTAATTTTTTTAATAAAAAATGACTCGCAATTCTATAATTTTTGATATTCATTTAAAACAACAACTCAATATGGTATAAACATTGTGATGCAAAGCAGTGGCTAAGCACTATACATTGTTTATGTGTTGTCTATAGTTTCGAAAAAAACAATAAACTTGCGTTACATATGCATTGTGTTATGTGTATTGTTGATCATCAATGGAACAATAATTAATCTTGACTATAATCACTAGCTAGTATCAGTTAGTGACACTTTTATTTACGAAAAAGGAAATCTTTAACAATTGTTTAAAAATTACCTTATATGGTAATATATTCAACTTAGATCTTTTGGCATTACGCGATCAAAAATTTAATGGAATTTTGTTGATATTTCAAGGGACTTTGTCTAAAAATAAACAATATAATAATTTGTTAATATTTTGATTTTCGATAAGATTTATTTTAAAGTTTCGTATTTATGACACATTAATCCATGATAGGTTTTTCTTTAATAGTGCAACATGTTTGTCACTCAAGAAATATTTAAATAAATTTCCTGATTCAAAAAAAATAAATTGTACAATCAATATTTAAATCAATTTCCTGATTCTATAAATCATTATAAATTATTGTAATAATCATAAAAAAAGAAATCCAAGGATAAACGCCAGCCAGAGTACACAACGGACAAATGATTCCGAGCATCTCCATCAAATTCAATTTTTTCTAAATAAAAATTATATAGATGAAATCATGATTTTATTTTTTTATAGAAAAAAAATGTATATATAAACACGCATTTAATTCACGAATGAAAATAAAAAAAGAACATTACCATAGTAAATTATTAAAAATGGTTGATAATTGGCCGTATCCATATAAACAAACACATGCTTCAAGCATGGATTTGCGTATTGAAAATGATTCGTCCACTTATTTAGCTATAAGTCCGGACGGTATTCTTGCAGCATCTTTTAATTCCAGTATGAATTTTAATTAATTAAATTTCTTTCTTTAGTATAATAACGTTATTAATGTTATTAATGTATCACTTATTTATTCATCATCCTTAGAAACTAAAAAAATTATTATTCAAGACGTGAAAGAATTAGAATCTTATCAGACAAACAACAAAGTTTACAAATTTGGTCCTCATGAAATTAGTAAGGTAGCTAACTTCCCAAAGTGTTCTATCACTATAAAATGGGATAAAATTAATGAGCAAGAATCTATTTCTTTGGCCATTTCCAATTACGCAATAATCGGTGAAGATTTAGTTGCATTCATAGCCTTATCTCGTTTTTGTGACAATGTTATGAGAAAGAAAGTTGATAAAAATAAAAATAAAAATGACGAAGAAAACGGATTGATTTCCAGTAAAGATACTCCAGTAGAAACGTTTGTGTTTTCAACAAAAACACGTAAGCGTATCAAAACTGTTGCAGACAATCACGGTGGACTTGTTAAATTTTTGAATCATAATTTTCCAAAGGAAGCCGATCAATCGAACGGATCAACTAATCTAATTGTCATGAACGCGTATGGAATTGCAAAAGCATTCATCGATCATAAAGATTGTCACATTATTGATCAATCTAAATATAAAAGAACTTGGGTCGCGAAAGAATATGAATTTCCAACAATAATTCAAGTTGAAATTGATGAGCTAACGGAGAAATCTACTTGTACCAATCTTTTAGATAAGATCTTTGAGAATAATTATTTATTTGTTGAAGATTATAAACATCAAATAATTGAAATGTATAATTTAAAATCTATGGATTTAGAATTGACATTTCAAAAACATGGTGAAATATTTCCATCGCAAGAGCGTGGAGATTATATTTTTTCCATTTCTAAATATGGCAAACTATTAGCATATTGTAATGGTACAAAGAAAATAACGATTCATTTAATGGAAAATGGACTTGAGGTTACAAAGAAAGAATTTACTGACGCAATCAAAATCCTTTCAATTTCATTTATTGACGATGATGAAAGATTATTAGTTGTCACTGAAAATGTTATTGAGGAAACCTCTGAACAAGTCCTTGAAGAAATCATTGAAAAAGACACTGGAGAAGCATCTGAAGAAGCATCGGAAGAAGGAACTGATGATACCATTGAAGCATACACTAAAGAAGCCAATGATAAAGCCACTAAAAAAACTACTAATTATAAAGCCTCATATGAGGCTAAATCTCCAACAGTTTATATTTGGGATCTTTACACATTTATAAATGATGTGCGAAAGATTGACGACGAGTCAAACATTTTTGGTTCCTTACGAAAATCTAATATTCGCTCGATAGCTTGTTCAAGTGGAACAATTCTCATATCATTACCGGATGAAAATATTTGTTGTGGATTGTCTTATGTTAAAAGCAAATTAAATTCATCAGAAATATCACCAATTAATCAACAAGCTAAAAAAGAACAAAATGGACCAGTCTTCGTTAATAAAGAACCTTGGGTTCGTACTGATAAAAGTAGACAACAACTTTATTATCTTGATGAAAGTAAAACAATTCAACTTATAATTGGAGAAACCACGGTGCAAGTTTGGAAAGAGAATAAAGGGCATGAACTGGATTTAAAATATATTTTGAGCAATCTAGACGGTAAACAAAAGATTGAATTTAAATCACTTAAGATTGGGAATTGTGAATTTTCAATAGATTTGTTATGTTTTGATACAAATGAAGAAAATAATATAGTGAACGAAATGAAAGAGAATATTCATTGGCCAAATAAAGCTCATGTCCTCAAAGATGCATGTGTTGCTATGGAGTACCTTTACAATCGAAGATATGAGCCCGTAGGATCAAGTAATTTAAGTAAATATGAAGAATTTGTTACAGGCACGGAAAAACTTATTAAAAGATGCATCAAAGAAAAACCGGGTTTATGGAGTTTATCTGAAGTTCGTTACGGAATCATGGCTAATATCATTCGATCTAAGAATATCTCACTGTTACATTGGATTCTATTCGATTATGAAGCAGATAGCAAAAAACAAGTTAAAAAAAGAGTTAGTCGTAACTTGCATATTCCAAGTCAATATGAATGGACTATGGAAATGAAAATAAGTGATTTGATGATTGCGATTAACCAAACTTTAGGTGAAAATCGTAGGGATAAATCTATCGTTGCTATGTTACTTGAATATTATTCAAATAATGCAGAGAAAGATACAGGTAATTTTAATATTCTTTCAAACAGAATCCAAAATTTATTACTAAAATAATCATTACGCGCGATAGGTTGGATGTTTACATTAACAAAGTCACTTCCTTCTCTTAGCGATCACTTTGGTATGTTCTTCACAAATAGATCACTTTCTTCATACGCAGTATTTATCTGATAAAAATATATGCATCTTTATAAAAACAGAACCTTATTTAAAGGATTTATTTTACAAACCTTGCTTTGGATCTAAAGAAGAACTTGTAGATTCAAAATTTATTTCACAAAGTAAATTGAAAAAAGGATTTATATCTGAAATTTGTTCTTTAAATGTGAGACCACGACTTTTAATGAAACCAAATGATTCTTCATTTTGGAATAAATTAAAGTCGAAGATTTTTGAAAGATCAAAAGTGATCGATGAAAAAATTGCAAAATTAACGATAGTACGCGTAGTTCCGTTACCAGATTTTACGGTTTTTCCAACTAAAGCGACAGATAGAACATATAATAATTGGATGATTCCGTTAAAGCTTATCAAAATTATATTTTTACCAAGACTTTATTTGGTTAATGATAAAAGTTATTTTAGTCCTTGTCTAGAATTTTTAAGTAAAAATAAAAATGAACAACTATATGATAATCCATCAATGGAAGCTTGCATTGATTTTAAATGGGGAGCAGCAAGGAATCATTTCTTACGTCATTTTGCATTATTCATAGCTTTTTCGTTCACATTTGCATACGTTTCTGGAAATAGCGAAGGTTTTGCATTTCCGAGAGTATTGTTTTTTTATCTTGGATATTACCTTTTGGCGACGGAATTAGTACAATCTAAACATGAGGGTTTAAAAAAATATTTTAGCATATATAATTTACTTGATCTTGCATCAATTATTCTTGCAGTAGTAACTATGATAAACTTTGTTATATTTCGATATAACGATAATGATCAAAATGAAAAAAATGAAAATACAGATGAAATCAAAAATGGTATTATTCTGCAAGCTTTTGCGATCTTACTTTTATGGTTAGAATTAGTAAGTATTATATTTTATAAAATCAATTTTTATTTTATTTACAATCATTAATGATCGTGATTTTTATCTAGTTATTACTGACGAGGTACTTTAGGGGTAAATGTCTTCATTATATTCATTTATTATATATTTAAATTTGTGTATTTTCAACTAATTAATTTTTTTAAGGTACTGCTACTTACATTCGATTGATATTAAATATTTTAAAGGCTATTTTGCCATTCCTAGTTTTTATGGTACATTTTAATTAGTTTATTATACGATAGAAATGAAGCTAGCGTATGCGTAATTAATTAATTCTTTATTCTTTAAAAAAAAAATTAGGTAATCGCAACCGTTGCTTTCGGACATGCAATGGTATCTATGTCTTATTACTTTTTTATCAGCTATTTTTTTTTAAAAAATCAATCTGTTGATTCTTCTTTTTTTTGGGTTAACTATTTATTAATAAATAATTAGCATATTATATTAAAACAACCTGATCTTATTGATTTGAAACCTAACGGCGATACATATAAATTTGAAGTGGCAAACTCAACAAATCCATACCTTGAAGGCCTTACAATAAAACAAGTCATTGATATTAATGATCCTATGGATAATTATTATGGAAAATTGAAATATTCTGCTTTAGGTGCTTATTTTTGGATCCTTGGAAGATGGGATCAATTAGAAAAATGGGATTTTTGGCCAATTTATGTAATTAGTATAGGTAAATATTCTATATTTAATTTATTATCGTTCTGATGATGTGATTTTAAAGTTTAAATAACATTGCTTTTCGTTTTTTTTTTTTTAGGCGCTAGTATTTTAATAGTCATTATCATGCAGAATTTGTTGATCGCATTTATGACGGGTGTATATGATAAAGCAAAAAACAATGTAAGAACGGCGGTGTTAGGTTATAGAGCTAATTTAATTGCTGATTATGAAACGTTAGAAAAACCGTTTGGCAGTGCAAGAGGGAACCCGAGATACATTTATTATGTTGGTAATGTTGAATATCAAGAGAAATGGTTGCATAGAGCTGAAAAATATAGGAAATTGTATAAATCATTATTAATTGAAGATATTAATTATCTATTATCAAAATGTACTAATGATTCAGATGATGATAAGAATTTAAATGTAGCAAATAAAGGTAAAGATGATGATCATGAGGGTAATACCAACATCACGAATAATGAGCTACACTTTAAATTACAAGATGAGATGAAGAAGTTACAAAGTGATGTTAAAGAATTGTTATCGTTTATTAAGAGTAAATGAGATATGTGAATATTAATAGTTAATTGTACCTTTACATTTTTATTATATAATTATCATTTATTATTTTATTTATCAGTATTTACAGTATCAGCATTACAATAAATAAAAAATTGATATTAAAATAGTTCGCGTTATTGTCAATGGACTTAGTTTCCTAAATTTTTTATAATTCTAAATTTCGAAAGAACTTGAAAAATTATTTTTTTAGCTTTTAAAAAATATTCGATGCACGCTGCTTGCATTTTTATTAAACATTAGGCTTGTACGTGGTTATTATCATAAAAATTAAAAATATCGTCAAGAAAAGGAGAAAAGTCAATTTATGATTTGAGATTAAAATTTAAATGACAACGTGATGCCTAAATTCTTAGTTTGCTTATGACTAAAATTGTGCGGGCGAATAACGTATATAAAATATACATATTACTTTCAAACAAAAATACCTTTCCGATTCTTCTATGACCTACATTTTTAATTGCTCGAATTAAATCTCATAGAAATAATATACACCTTTATATAAAAAAAAAATTATAAAATGATTTATTTGGCAAGAATTTCCATCAGATTATTGTAAACTTATAAATTTACAGTTGAAGTTCTCTTTATCGGTTATTTTACTTATTTCATTAATTCTGCAAAATAATTAAATAAAAAGTAATAAAAAAAGTAAATATTATTCTCAAAATAATATAACCAAGTGAAATAATTAAAATTTAAATTTCGGGCATTCCAACATGAAATTTCAAATTGAACACTTACCCTAATATGAAATTAGCGCATCATTAACATTGGGCAAATTGGAAATTGGGAACGCGGTATCCCAGAATGCAGTGCCCCAAGTTGACAATTACCTCAATTTACGATAAACAACTCAATGATTGTCGAAGTTGATATAGGTTGTATGCATGATGTTGGTGAAGTAGGTGATGAACTATTTAAATTATTTGAACTATTTGTCAAAATCTTCATCTTTATTTGACGTTTTCGTTGGTAATATTGCTTTTAAATTTATTTGCTAATATAACAATTTTAAATATAAAATAATACATTGAAATATTTAGTCATACAATCTTATATTATTTGGAGATAATTCAAATTTAATAATATCATAATTATTCATACAATCTTGAAAAATGTTTATATTATTTATATTATTTATATTATTTGGAGAATGCAAACTTCATATGTGAAGAAATATTGATTGTAGCGCTTTTTTGCGTAATTAGTTTGTGACAAAAATTAACTTTTCCGCAAGGGTATCCTTTACCATATTAACTTTTACAATCTAAACGAACAAGATAAATTGGACTAGCGTTGAAACGAAATTCTAAAATGATTTTTGCGTAACGCATCACAATTGATAAAGTGAAATCTCGTGATAATAGTTTTTAAAATTGGCGACCCGGCACTATATTTCGAACTTACTATGTCAGCCGGTTAACCGACTTTTAGCTGGATAAAAATTTTTTAATGATGGTTCCAATCACTATGGATGTGCACGACAAATGTGCAAGGCTCTGGCTTATTTTTTTTAGAGACATTCATCATCAATACATTGACTTTTATAAAAAATCACAAATTATAAAACACGAGTCAACTGAGATTAAAAATAACTGATTCAAATATAAAAAGTAGTACATTAAATTTATTTATTGTGGTAATTTAATTTTAATTGTGTAAATCGTCTTTTAACAATTCAACTTAACATTCCGAATTAGCAAAATGGTATAGCGATATGGTATAAACGTGATTTTTTTTTTAGCAAACACCGATATTGGTAACGGTCATACCCGGTGACCGTTGGCACCACACAAAATAATCTACATAGATTAAAAATAACCGATAATCATGTGTAAATTTCGTAAGTGATTATCGATATTTTTTTTTTCGTGATTTTGGTAAATGAATGATTTCTTTTACCTAGCACATTAAATTGATCTGTGAATAAATATTTTCAGCACACTGGATTTTAACGCATTAATATTTTCTAATATTTGTAATACCTGGATTCGGGCTCTCATATCCGATATCTTAATTTGGAAACACTGTGTAGATCAAATTATAATTCATTAATTGATTTTATCTACATAACGTGTCGTACAGTATGTTTATCCAAACTTTATAAATATTTTGATCTTTTGTAACAGAATTATTATTGTTAATAATTTAATAGAAGAATTTATTTGTAAATAAATGCATGATTGATTAAATGTTGTCTTAATTTGACAAAGATTATGAATGTTAATTATTACTAATTTTAATAATCCATGTTTTTTAATTTATTAAATTTATTAATTAGTAAATGGTTTCTTAAAAGTTTCACTTTATCACTTGAATACTTGCGTTACACAAAATGAAAGTTAAGCAATATGTAAAATGAAACGCGTCACAAATAATCTGCGACACATTGATTCTTGCAAATATAAGCAATCCAAACATTCTTTTTTTTATAATAGAGTGAAATAATTCGTTAAATTTTAATAAAACTATTGTTTACCTTTTTCTTAATTTGTTCGATTTGTTTAAAAAAAATAATTTCGCTTGTCAATTTATCTTCCATTTTATCTCGGGTACTTAATTTTAAAACATCATCTAAAAACAGTGCAATAATTGTAAAGCGTAGCGCAATCTAAGCACGTATCTGATATGAATTGTATTTATTTGTATGGTTTCAATAATTTCAAAAAACAATAGTTACATATGCATTGTTTTTTGGTACCTCGTAATTTTGTCGATCATCATGCAATAAATGGAATACATTCATTTTCATTTACGAAATAGGTAAATCAGTTTTTGTAAAATAATTACTTTTTATAGTGATATGTGTAAATTTTAACACACATTTAGTTTCAGTGTAAATAAATGGTTTCGTTGAATTTCAAGGAGCTTGGCCTAAAAAAAAATAAATTAATTCTGCTGAGAAAATATCATTTTAGCAAATTTCAAAGTAGGAACCATTCTTCGATCTTGTCTTTCAATGAGATTTTTGACGTTAATTATGACTTTTGACGATTTAATTATATTCGTATCATGATAACTTCGTAGGTACCGAAACATATGGATTTTGCCCCTTTTCTTCGATAGCGCCACCTGCTGATCACTCGAGAAGTATTCAAATAAAATTACTAATTCTACAATTCATTTATTAAATTTATGTGACATTCATGGAACAATAATATTTATTTAAAAAAAAAAAAAAAAAAACGCCATCAGGAAACACTATGGACAAAAGACTCCGAATATCTCCGTCAAAGTCAATTTTTATAAAAGAAGAAAAATCTAGATTATCAATTATATTTTTGGGAGGAGGGGAAATGTATAAATAAACGCATTTAATTCACGAGTGAAAATATAAAAAAATGTTACCTTAGTATACTATAAAAAATGAACTATAAAAAGTTAGATGTAGAAAAAGTTTCATCTTATGCTCCGAGCCGTCATAGTTTTGGTGATGATGATTCTCCCACTTATTTAGCTATAAGTCCGAACGGTGTTTGTGCGGCGACTTTTAATTCTGGTATAAATTTTAACTAAAATATTTCTATGCATTTTTGTCATATCATTGAAATAATCACTGATTTCATCATCTCCTTCACCTTATTTTACGAATAGACACTTATGAAATTAAAATTTACCACGACAAAAACAACAAATTGACTTTTTTAAAGGAATTAACATTTCCTGAAAAAAAAAAAATAGTGAAATCTTCATCCGATAAAGTATCTTTTTCTTTCGCTATTTCCGATTTCGCGAATACCGAAAAACATGGATTTGTAGCTGTATCACATTTTCGACCACCAGATATGAAGAAAAAAATTAAAATTAATAAACAAAATTCGGTCGAAAATCCAAAAACTACTATTAAAGTTCCAGAAAAAGGATATCCTATCGACCATATTCCAGTAGAAACATTTGTACTTTCAACAAAAACAGATTCTAACTTAACTGCTGTATATAATCACGGTGGTGGGGTCGTTAGATTTTTAAATGAAAAAAATGACGATCAATCGAACGGATTTACTAATTTAATTGTAATGAACGCGTCTGGAATCGCAAAAGTATTTATCTATCATAAATATTTTAACAATCGTTCTATAAATAAAAGTTTGGTCGTGAATGAATATGACTTTCCAACAATCATTCAAGATAATCTTGATAAATTGTATCATGATTCACCGTGTACAAGTTTTTTAAATACCATTGTTGAAAGAAATTTTTTATTTGTTGAAGATTACAAAAACCAGATACTTGAAATGTATAATTTACAATCCATGGATTTAGAATTGACATTTCAAAAGCATAATCCAGTCATTCTTTCAACACAAGAGCATGGAAAGGCTATTTATTCCGTTTCAAAACATGGTCATCTATTAGCATATTGTAATGGTACAAAGAATATTACGATTTATTTAATGGAAAATGGACTTGAGGTTACGACGAAAGAATTTATTGATGCAATCAAAATCCTTTCAATTTCATTTATTGACGATGATGAAAGATTATTCGTTGTTACTGAAAATACCACTAAAGAAGCTACTGAAGAAGCTATTGATACAGGCAATGAAGAAACATCTGAAGAAGATTCTGAAAAAGGCACTGAAGAAACCATTGAAGTAAATGAAGAAGCCATCGACGAAACCGAATCATTCACTGCAACGATAAATATTTGGGATATTTTCACTTTTAAAAATGATTTACGAGAGTTTGACGATGAATCAAATATTTTTATTTCCTTACAAAAGTCTTATAGTCACTCAATAGCTTGTTCAAGTGGAGCTATACTTGCATATTTGCAGAATGGAGTTATTAGTGTATTACCGTATTTAACTAGTAAATTAAAACCAACTAATATATCGCCCACGCTTGAACTTAAAAATGCATCAAAATTTATTAGAAAAGAACCTTGGGTTCGTTATACAAAAGGTGGGCGCACACCCTCTTATCTTGATAAAGATGAACAAATTCAACTTATAATTGGAGAAACATCAGTTCAAGTTTGGAAGAAAAAAAAGGGTACTGACACTAAAAATAAACGGGTTTTAAAATATATTTGGATGAATCTAGGTAAAAAGTTGATTATAGATGAATCTCTTAAGATTGGGAATTGTGAATTTTCATTAGATTTGTTATGTAATGATACAAGTGATGAAAAGAATATAGTGGACGAAATGAAAGAGAATATTCATTGGCCAAATAAAGCTCATGTCCTCAAAGATGCATGTGTAGCTATGGAGTACCTTTACGAACGAAGATACGAACCAGCAGGGCCGAATAATCTAAACAAATATCATGAATTGTTTGCAGGCACTGAAAAACTAATTAAAAAATGCATCAAAAAAAATCCGAATTTATGGAGTTGCTCTGAAGTAAGATATGGGATAATGTCCAATATCATTCGATCAAAGCATATACCGTTGTTACATTGGATATTATTCGATTATAAAGAAGCAGATGGCAATAAACAAGATAAAACGAGAGTTAGTCGTTACATGCATATTCCATGTCAATATGTATGGCCTATGAAAAAGAAAAAAAATGATTTGATGCTTGCTATTAAACAATCTGAAGATGAAAATCGTAGGGATAAATCTATTGTCGCAATGTTACTTGAATATTATTCAAATAATGCAGAGAAAAATACAGGTGATTAATTAATTTTCTTACACATATATCAAAATTTGTCATCAAATTCATTATTCTTTTACAATAGGTTGGATGTTTACGTTTACAAAGTCTCTTCCTTCGCTTAATCAATTAAACTTTGGTATGTTCCACTCACGTAGTTCGCGTACTTCATACGATATATTATCAGTTAATAAAATTTGCACCATTAAAAATATAGAACCATATTTGAAAGAATTATTTTACAAACCTTGTTTTGGATCCAAAGAAGAGTGGGTAGATTCAAAGTTTGTGTCTCCAAGTAAATTGAAAAAAGGATATAAATCGGAAATTTGTTCATTGAATGTGAGACCACGACTTTTACTGAAGCAAAATGATCATTCATTGTGGAGAATATTTAAGACAAAATATCTTGAAGGATCAAAAGTATCCGAGGGAAATGCTTCAAATGCGGATGAAATAAGTACATCAGCAACGGATGAAAAAAAAACACAAGTAACGGTTGAATTAAATACACCAGCTACGGATGAAGAAAATAAACAAGCAACGGTTGAAATAAATACACCAGCTACGGATGAAGAAAATAATACACAAGCAACGGATGAAAAGGGAACTGATGAAAAAAGTATAAAGGATAAAAAAATTACACGAGTAACGGCAGTACGTGTAGTCCCGTTACCAGATTTTATTGTTTACCCAACTCATGTGACAGATGTGACAGATAAAACACATGATAATTGGATTATTCTGTTCAAGCTTATCAAACTCATATTTTGGCCAAGACGTTATTTAATTCATGATAAAGATCATTTTAGTCCTTTTCTAGAACTTTTAAGTAATAGTAAAAATGAACATTTATATGATAATCCAGCAATGGAAGCTTGCATTGATTTTAAATGGGGAGCAGCAAGGAATCGTTTTTTACGTTTTTTTGTAATGTTCATAGTTTTTTCGTTCACATTTGCATTAATTACTGGATTAAACAAAGATTCGGCATTTACAAAAGTATTGTTGGCATTATTTTTTTATATTGGAATTTATCTTTTAGCAACGGAATTTGTTCAATTTAAACACGAGGGTTTAAGATATTTTAGCATATATAATATTCTTGATGTTGCATCAATTATTCTTGCATTAATTACAATGATAAACTATCTTAGTGGTTTTGTAGTTGAAATTGAAAAGGCCATCATTATGAAAGCATTTGCGGTTTTACTTTTATGGTTAGAATTAGTGAGTATTAATTTTATTAAATACTTTTTTTATTTTTTAATTATCAATGAATTAATGTTTTAATTTGTTTACCAAGTTATTACTAACGCGATACTTTAGTGGTAATTATCTTCATTAACTTCATTATTTAATAAATTTGTTTATTATCAACTAACTTTTTTATTTAAGGTACTGCTACTTATATTCGATTGATTCTAAATATTTTAAAAGCTATTTGGCCATTCCTAATTTTTATGGTACATTATAATTTTATCATCTTTATTATTATAAGAAGGATTGAAATGAAGCATGATTAATTAATTTAATTTTTATTTTAAAAATAGTTAATAGCAACAGTTGCTTTTGGACATGCAATGGTATGTCTTATTACTTTTTTTTTTATCATCGGAGCTTTATTAAAGATTAATTTTATTTTTTTTTTGTTAAAAATTATTAAATAATTAGCATGTCATATTAGAGCATCCTGATCTTATTCATTTGAAACCTAATGGCGACAAATTTAGTATAAACTCAAAAAATCCAGATCTTGAAGGCCTTACAATGGAACAAGTAATTGATATTGATGATCCGATGGACAATTATTATAGAAAATTGACATATTCTGTTATAGGTGCTTATTTTTGGATCCTTGGAAGATGGGATCAATTAGAAAAGTGGGACTTTTGGCCAATTTATGTAATTAGTATAGGTAAATATTCTATACTTAATCTATTATCGTTCTGATGATGTGATTTTTTAAAGTTTTAAATAAATCTTTTATATTTAGGTGCAAGTATTTTAATAGTCATTATTATGCAAAATTTGTTGATCGCATTTATGACAGGTGTATATGAGAATGCAAGAAATAATGTAAAATTGGCGGTGTTAGGTTATAGAGCTGACTTAGTCGCTGATTATGAAACGTTAGAAAAACCATTAGGTAGCTCAAGAGGGAACCCGAGATACATTTATTATGTTGGAAATGCTGAATATCAAGAAAATTGGTTAGATAGAGCTGAAAAACATAGGAAATTTCACAAATCATTATTAATTGAAGACATTAATTATCAATTATTACGGTCTCCTAATGATTCAGATAATTCGAATGATTCGGATGATTCGGATGATGACGAACAAGTTGTAAATGTGGTAAATAAAGGTAAAAATGATCAGAAAATTAAATTGACTGTCAGTGATCGTAATGATGAGCAACACTTTAAATTACAAGATGAGATAAGGATATTACAAAATGATGTTAAAGAATTGCTATCGTTTATTAAGAGTAAATGAGATATGTGGAAATTAATAGTTTTATTTGTACTTTTACATTTTTATTGTATTATTATCATTTATTATTATATTCATCAGTATTTATTAGCATTAAAATAAATAAAAATTGATATTAAAATAGTTATCGTTGTTTATTTTCCTAAATTTTTTATAACTCTGAATTTCGAAAGAACATTAAATAATTTTTTTTTTTAGCTTATAAAATTTATTTAAAAAGTATTCAATGCATGCTGCTTGCATTTTTATAAAACATTAGTCTTGTACATGGTTAAAATGGTAAAATTAAAAATATTGTCAAGAAAAGAAGAAAATTCAATTTATGATTTGAGATTAAAATTTAAATGACCACGTGATGCCTGAAATATTTGCGACGGATGATGTCTAGATTCTTAGTTTGCTTATGACTAAAATTGTGCGGGTGAATAACGTATATAAAATATACATTTTACTTCGAACGTCATTAAATAAATAAACTTACAATAACAAATTTTTTTATTTCTTTCATCTCCAAACTCTCTTTTGATTTTCAGCTTTTCATAACACATTTCACATTCTTCCTTAAATTTTTCAAACAAGAATACCTTTCCGATTTTTCTATGACTCACATTTTTAATTACACGAATTAAATCTCAAAGAAATAATATACACCTTTATATAAAAAAAATTATAAAATGATTCATTTGGCAAGAATTTGATATCAGATGTTTGTAAACTTATAAATTTACAGTTGAAGTTTTCGTTATTGGTTATATTACTTGATTTCATTGATGACATTTATTTCTGCAAATTAATTAATCAAAAAGTAATAATAAAAGTAAATATTTCTTCGTAAAATAATATAACTACGTAAAGAAATTAAAATTTCAATTTCGGGCATTCCAACAAGACATTTCAAATTGGGCAATTACCCTAATTTGATATTAGCGAATCAGTAACCAATTTAAAATTGAGGCAAATTGGAAATTGGGAACGCGGTATCCCAGAATGCAGTGCCCCAAGTTGACCCTTACTTCAATTTACGATAAACATCTCATCGCAATGATTGTCGAGAGAGTTGTATGCATGATTATGATGTTGGTGAAGTAGGTGAAGTAGGTGATGAACTATTTAAATTATTTGAACTATTTGTTAAAATCTTCATCTTTATTTGACGTTTTCGTTGGTAATATTGCTTTTTAAATTTATTTGATTTAATGATAATCAAAGTAAAATCTTGAAATATTTACTCATAAAATCTTATATTATTTGGAATAATATCATAATTATTCATACTATCTTAAAAAATATTTATATTATTTATAATATTTGGAGAATGCAACTTAATATGTAAAAAAATATTGATTGTAGCGTAAACTTTTCCGCAAGTGCATCCTTTACCATATGTTATGGATATTGTACGGTGTGTTATTTATATTGGTTAACGTCACTTCGTGACGTTAACCAATGTAAATAATCACCGTACAATATCTATATTATCGTACGGTTCACAAGATCATACTGTATAAAAAAGGCTTATCGAATCCTAACAATTCTTTTTCTTAATTTCTATTATTCTTTAACATTATCTCAAACCAATATGCAATGCGAAATAAAAGCATTTATAAAAAAAATTTTTATTATATTATTAATTTCTAAAATAATATTTTCTGTTATCCAATGCAAAGTTTAGTTACAATTATTATTACGCAGTAGGAATATAATAAAAGAAATGATAGAAGAATGTTATTACCTTATGTTAATAATTTACATTTTTTTTTTACGTGGCTATTCCAACTTCTTATAACGCAAACTGTTGATATTTTTTAAAATTAAAGTAAAGCTATCTCTTATTTTCAAATTAATTAATTATTACAAAGGTCAAATATCTCATGTAAACCGTTGCAATATATCGATACTAATTATAACTAAATAATTAATGCTTATTATAGTGAATTTAAGAAAGGCTAATTATTATGAATATTAATAAAAAAATAAATATTTTTATTCTTTAACTATATAGATAACTATAAAATGCAATATTGAACGCAAATAAGCTACTAATATTCAATATTATACGATGTATTGATGCTAAATATTATATAGTATAAAAAAATATTGGTCAAACAACCTCAGCATGATCCTATAGGGCCGTGCGATAATAACTTTTACAATCTAAACGAACAAGATAAATTGGACTAACGTTCAAACGAAATTGTAAAATGATTTGCGTAACGCATCACAATTGATAAAGTAAAATCTCGTGATAATAGTTTTCAAAATTGGCTATATTTCGAACTTACTATGTCAGCCAGTTAACCGACTTTTAGCTGGATAAAAATTTTTAATGATGGTTCCAATCACTATGGATGTGCACGCTAATGTGCAAGGCTCTGGCTTATTTTTTTAGAGTCATTCATCATCAATACATTGACTTATGAGAAATCACTAATGAGTCAACTGAGATTAAAAATAACTGATTCAAAGATAAAACGTAGTACATTAAATTTATTTATTGTTATTTATTGTGGTAATGTAATTTTATCAATTTTTATCAATTATAATTTTTATAGTGTAAATTGTCTTTTAACAATTCAACATTATTGTAGTCACGCGATATGATATAAACGTGGTTTTTACAGCAAACACCGAAATTGGTAACGGTCATACCCGGTGACCGTTGGGTTGGCATATCATCTACATAGAAAAAATAACTGATAATCTTGTGTAAATTTCGTAAGTGATTATCGTTAATTTGCCAAGCTTTTTTTTCGTGCTAATTTTGGTAAATAAACAATCTGTGAATACATTAATGTTTTCTAATATTTGTAATACCTGGATTCGGGCGATATCTTAATTTGGAAATGTTGTAGCCCAAATGCGTTAATGTCCGAAATGATCATTTCGGATATCCCAAATCGGAATGCGCATTTGGGATATCCCAAATGCGAAGATCGTTTCAGACATGAATTTGTCCCAAATGCGCATTTATCCCAGATGATCATTTGGGATATCCCAAATGCTCACTTCGGATATCCCAAATGACCACTTCGAATAATATCCCAAATGCTCACTTCGGATAATGTCCCAAATGCTCACTTCGGATATCCCAAATGACCACTTCGGAAATCATCCCAAATGACCACTTCGGATAATATTCCAAATGCTCACTTCGGATAATGTCCCAATGTTCACTTCGGATATTATCCCAAATGCATTTCGGATATCCCAATAACTACTTCTGACATCTACGAATTGTAATTTCGGATAAATGAACTCTTCGAACGTTTCAAATGACCAGAGACATATAGGAAAATAACATTATATGCTCAAAAGATGAATTACTAATTAAGATGCCCTATCTTTGTCATTTGAATTATTCGAAATGGTTTTTAGAACATAAATAGTCATATTGAGCATCTGAATTGATAATTTGGATCGAAGTGATTATTGGGTGAAGTGGTGGTCATTTGGTGTATGGCCATTTGGGATATCCGAAGTGAGCATTTGGGACATTATCCGAAGTGAGCATTTGGGATATTATCCGAGGTGGTCATTTGGAATATCCGAAATGATCATTTCGGACATTAACGCATTTCGGGTACAACAGAAACACTGTCTGTGTAGATCAAATCGGGCAACCTAAACATTATACGTATAATAGAGTTATAATTCATTAATTGATTGTGTCATATAGTTTCTACATATCGTTCGTATGTTATCAAAACTTTATAAATTTTTTGATCCTTTTAACAGATGTCTGAGAATTATTATTGTAAATAATTTAGTATTTGTAGATAAATGTATGCTGCGTGACGATTGATTATATTATGTTTTTATTCTGACAAAATTTGGGAAGTTGATGGTTTATTAATTATTACAAATCCATGTTTTTTTAAAATAATATTATGAAATAGCAAATGGTTTCTTGAAAAGTTCACAAGAATACAACATGTCACAAATAATCTGCGCCACGTAAAGCAAGATAAATTCTTACAAATAGAAACTGTCCAATCTTTCTTTTATAAGTAATAATTGGCTAATTTTAATAAAATTTATTCGTTTTTTTTTTTTAAAAAAAAATTTTGAGTTGCATTTATTTTAATGTCTATTTCCTGGGTACTTAATTTTAAAACATCATCTCAAAGCAGCAGGGTGGACATACTTATATCACATGTCGATCATTTTGCCGATCATATTTTGTATTATCACATCAGCGTTTGCAA